TAGCTTAAAGCAACAGACCCAAGCAGGGTGGGCGTGGTCGGAAACGGCTGCAATCCCCTCGGCCGATTCCCACTTCGGAGCTGTTCAGCCCCTAGTCAAGAACGTAAGAAGTGTGACTGAACAAAAACTCACCTTGGAAAGCCGCTAGGCAGGGAGCTGAAGTGGGCGTGGTCGGAATCGGCCGAGGGGATTGCAGTCGTTTCCGACCACGCCCACCCTGCTGGGACTGTTGCTTTTTAGTGTTGGTAGTGGGTTTTTTTTAGGTTGGTGATTGGTTTTTATGGGGTGGTGGGGGGGTTGTTTATGGTGTTGTTTTCACTGTACGCTCGATGGTGGGAAATTAGCGGACAAGGTTGATGTGTTCGAGAAACTCGTGACTGATATGTTCGATCTAGACGCGATGGAAAAGTTGCCAGAGGAGCTCGGTAGGTTTTCTCACAGCTGGTGTTTGTTTTTGATTTCTTACATGAATCTGTGCATCACATGAAATGACATACACGAAAACCCGAACATGCACCGTGAAGTACTCAAAGGAATCGTCCCCAGAAAATTCCTGCACTCTTTCCCAAGTGTGAACATATCAGTTGTGATCACTAGAAACAAAGTAGAAATATTCACTCCAGAAAATATAGTTCCCTCGAATCATACTTTCGGAAACCATGTTCTAGGGGCGGTCACGGGTAGTGGGCGGAGACCAGGGAATACATGGAAGAAGGGGCGCTTTGGAGCGCTCATATATCAGGCGGCGTTTTGAAAGAATAGAGATAAAACGATTGATAGAATTGGATGCACTAGAAGCAGGGTCAACCGTCCGTTGGACAAAGTCCAACGCGACGACGAGAGTAATGCCGAGAGTGAACGTACGCACGGAGACACAGACGGCTCGCGGGTGGCGAGAGTGAATGCCGGCGCGGAGAGCGGTCAACATCGGTCCAACGTCGCTCCAATATCGGTCCAACGTAACGGTTGACCCTGCCAAGTGTGAGATGTGCAATAGTCGAAAGGTCAAAAAGAGTTCCTAGAAACGGCACTCCGAGAACCAAGGTGGAAGCGTTCCCACTCCAGCATTTGTGACAGATTTACGACGAGAATCTGAAAACGTTACAGAATTTCCGGCTTTTCGAATTGTTTACGAAAACAAACACAATTTTTCGGTTTTTCATTTTTCCCGTAAACAAATGTTCTTAAGCCGGTGATTTATGGTTGAAAATTTCTTTCGTCGACGGAGCCTTTAAGTTTTGTAGGCACCAGGTCCTTCCGCTAGCTTTCGACCACCCCCACTTTCCGTGGGCGCCATACGACACCTGTTGTTGCGCTTGATATGACAGACGGTTGACCTTGGATAGTAGATTTGTACATTGTAAAAATTAATTTAGCACAGAGTTAAGAAGCACCAAATTCGACCTAAGCAATGTTCACATTTCCATAGATACCCGTAGCCCTCTCATAGCTGCAAGGTGTTTAGGAATGGAACGTGTTTTATGTCACGGAGATCTGTGGTCAATGAACATTCTCTGGAGACAAAATGGTGATCACCTCAGCCTGGCTAGTCTGGTCGATTATCAGGTACCTCAATTTCATGGTTTGAACAGCATAAAAAGCAAAGTGGTCATTTTAATCAGGCCCTTGAGCCGTTATTGAATAGTGGAGCACGTGATCAGCTAGAGGGCAAGTGCGGACGCCAAAAACTACATAATCGAGTGATGACTGCGGATCGGCATGCAAGCAGCAGCAAAGGATATGCCTCCGGCCATCTGGCATGGCCGTCTGTGTGCCGATATTGCCGCAGCACGCCCACCGCTCGCCGTCTGACAGCCGTTGGGCAGAGAAAGGCGTAAGCGTTGAAGAGGGCACCGCTGATGAGAGTCGCATCAATGCGGAAACCAACGGTAGAAGGGGTCTCATTTCTCGGGTTCTGGCCGTTTCTCATGGTTTTTTCCTCACCCTGATCACTGACCAACTCTAGTTCGTTTTCTAACGGGCTGCCTTTTCATCTTCCGTCTTTGAATGTCTGGTGGTTGATCAGCTGTTTTCAGAACTTCGGCAGTGCTGCGATAGTCGATATCCCACTCTGAGCCAACACTAGCACTGATTAAGCAATTTCGCTCCAACTGACAAGCCTATATATAGGCATTCTCTTTCTCCGTTAATCGGACATGAGGGTGACTGTCACATCCAAAGTTCCAGTCAGCTTGACCAGAGAGGGTTCTGATTTTTAGAAAGCTGTGTTTACTTCCGCCCCCGGCGCTTTGTCTATAAAGGCTATCATCATCGGTATATGGGCTAGCTAGTGCAGAAATCCATATATGGATTTTTTGACTGAGAGTTTGTGGGAAACTTTTTCCAGATTGCTCATTTCGGTTGCCCTGCCACCGATTTGGTGCGGGTGTTTTCCGCATGTTTGAGTGGAAAAGAGAGACAAGCGCACTGGGAGGAGCTCTTGGAGGACTTCTACGGATATCTTAAGAAGGAAGTTGGCAGTGAAAAGATGCCCTACACACTCGAACAGGTTATATTAAATGCCAATAATCTTCATAAGTGAAATAGCTATGCAGTATACTCTGCAGAATTCTGCTTTCGTAGCTGAGAATCAACTTTTCTGATGACAGGGTTGCTCTCTGGTCGAAATACAAATTTCATGCCACTTCAAGAGATACGGAGACTTTTCTAACTTTAGATTGTGCCTTCAATTCTTACTTCTGCACATTTGCAAAACATCTGTTCAAACAGCAGTGTGGTTGTCTGAACAGAATTTGTGGGTGAAGATCATCAACGGAGTTGTGCTAGTGTGCGCGTATTTGCTTTTCGTGCTCATCATTCCTCATAGTCGATATCCTACCCTACCGTAACACTGGTGTTCTTTGTCCTCATGCACCACTAGGACAATGGACAGTTCCAGTGGTGGGGCCGCGGAGTAATTCTGCCTATGGTGTGGCAGATTGTGTAGGCGGTATCTCGAAACCTTCGTTCACTGAGTAGTTCTGGCGTGTCTCGCAGGTTCACAAAAAGTTAAATGAGACGTACTTGATTTCGGTTTCCAACCCTCTAATAATCTTTTTGAAAAACTCGTATATTTTGAAATAAAGGATAAAGGATAAAGCATTTGCCGTTGATCAATCCCTTTTTGGGATGCGGCACGCATTCTACTTCCATTTGTACATTCGTAGTGGCGTTTGAATGCGATGTGGCCTATACAATGACTTGCGGGGCCAGCCGATGTACAAGTCAGTGTTTTTTATCCTCCCAGACAAGTCTGGTACCAATTAACCGACCCCGGAGGGATGGAAGGCTTGGTGGCCCGGGCGACTCACGACCCAGGATTTGATCCCCGGACCGCTCGCGTGGTAAGCGCGCCACTTGTCACTACACCACTTCCGCCCCTCTCTGAAAAATACTGATTTTTATTGATTCCAGTTGAAAGAATCCTATCGTCGATTCTTTCCTGTGGGAGCCTTCCTGATAATTCCGCTGATAGGACCTCTTTTCGAGTGTATCTTTAAGAATCCCGACGAAGAAATGAAGAAAAAGGTGAGCACTACCGTATTTCTGACATGCCCTGTTTTGAACAACTTTAATCGTTCTTGATTGCGTATAATTTCTTTGTAGTGTTTCGCGACGATAATGGAAAAGACGGAGTGCTTACTGGATGACATGATTCAATTTCATCATAGAAATATGAAAATCAAGAGAGGAGAGTCAATTGAATGAGTAATTCATAATAAATGGTATAAATCATTGTAAATGTAACAAAAAAACTGCGCATTTTTTTCCTGTGATTCCTCTCGCTATTGACAAATTCTCCTCAACGAATGGCAAAACCGCAAGGGCGCGGTCATAACCATGAAGGGGAGATGCGAGAGTGAAATTTCTTTGGCCGATGTCAGACTTTGCGAATCGAGCGATTCGCTAGCGTCCGCGGTCGCGTCGCGGCCAGTGAATCACTCAATTGGCTGGTACCGCAACGCGACCGCGGACGCTAGCGAATCGCTCGATTCGCAAAGTCTGACACCTACTTTTCGGACATCGTTACGCCGACCCATTGCTCGGCAAAGGCGAGGGCTGGGTGCGCTCTCTGCGCATGTAGTGAGCACTACCGTACCCAGTAATCTCGCATATTGTGCGTGTTGTGCATCCTGAGCACCAACAGCACAATTTTTGATGACACATTTGAAAATGATTTGAGCTATCGCAATTTACAAGCTTGCAGCCATTATCGCGCACTAAAAAACCACTGTCGATCCACTGAACGACCGAGCTGTGTGTCGACCATGGTAATGGGTCCACCTAGTCGAACCACCGTAAAAGAGTGGGGCTAACTCATCCGACATGAACAAAGATCGGTAGGTTGGTCGGTTGGTATCATTCACATGAAAATCCCAATGGAATTACAATGATCAGACAGCAGATTGATCGGCAGATCTTCGTAATTTCATTGTAATTTTCAAGAAATAAGACCAACTGAATAACCCATCCGGAACTACAGTCATGTCTGGACGAAAGGGGCATACTCGCAACTGCCGAGATTGCCGGCTGGATGTCAGCACATAAGGTAACTACCTGATAAGTTTTCGATTCTCAAAACTATTGCACGCCAAGGACAGCGAATCATTGAGGCAAGAGTTCAAGATGGTACCGAAAAAGAAGTACGGCACGAAGAGAAACGGGTTTGAAACCTGCTGAGACCATCATCAGGTCTTGAACATATCGCCGATGAGTATCCATTTCATCCCACATGGCCCAGGGCAAAAGTGTTAACCCTTTGCCGCCGGTGGGCCACACTTCCACTCGGAGGCGACTCGTTTTTCATTGTTTATTTGCCATTTTTTCATGTCTCAAAATTGCCCATACTCACTAATCCGCGAAATACTGTGCTCATTAATAATGAAATTGTTGGAGAATTTATGACTACTGAAGAAAAAATTATAAAAAAATAACTGACGCACGCACACGGGTCGCTTAAAGTGTTAAACAAGGCTCTCTTTGAGACAATGGAATGCGAATACGATATTTTCATGCAAAATAAGTACGATATTCGTGCTCTGCGGGTCAAACTTCGTCAGTAAATAACTTTCAGCGCTTTTGGTGTCCTAGCAACTTATAACATCGTCACCGGGTGTAAGGCGCTTTCTGGGCAAGTAAATGAAATGCTCCTCTTGTACTTGTCCAGTTAAGCCGAGAGTAAGCCTCTGGCCAATCATACCTTAAGACGAATTCTGCTAAAAATCCACCTCGATTTTCGGAAAGTGATGATGGAAGAATTAAAAGTGAATAGTGCCCTGTTTCATTTTTCACTCCACACTTCAATAATTATTGAAGCTGCCTGTCTGGCAAAACACTTCGGTTCCGTGTCCGAGTGTGAAAATTCATTTCTGCACGGTAATGTGTGGGTTAGTGAATACGTGAATTTATGTAAGAACGGCACGAAACCTTCAAACAACCCACTACGTTGACATAAAAAGGAGAATGTATGGCTAAACAAGCCTGGAAACGCAGTGTTGTGTTATCCCGTAGACTCACATCGATCCAAACATTTCCTGCGTGGGTATGGACAGTGTTCAACCCTTTCAGCCCTGATTTTTCTTTCCGTGGGAAAGAAAGAAATTTCCTTGCTATTCCTCAATACTTACGAGTACCTCAAATTCCATATAACAAAATTCGGAAGCTTTCCCACCAGAAACTCAAGAACTAGGAAGCAGTGAAATTGACACAGCGTCTTGCTAGCTTATGTTGGAAA